TCGAACAATCAGCAACAAAATAATTTTGCAGAAAGTAGAAGATATCCACCACAACGAGCGTGTATCTAGCTCCTGAGCTCTGATACCATGATGAAGATCGAAGAGCAGATCAATTGGAAGTAAGAAGAAGATGAACATGAAGGTTGTAGAATGGAGAACTCATTAGAGAGTATATGAGCTGAAAATGATTGTATAATTTTCTGTGTCAAAACTGAATACAAAATGACATGTGTCTTACTTATATACACTGTGTATGACAGCTACACTAATCTTTCTCCACTAACTATCTAACCAACAATCACATAATTAGTTATAACTAACTACACTAACTCACGTGACTTACATGTGTCATTCTTCTCTTCAATATCAGACTAGTTAGGGCCTCAATGCCGATATTGAATACCTTGTGGGAAACCAACATAAAAAAATTCTACCACCCAATTGTACTATCTTTTTTCTTATAGCTCACGACTTCCTTTCTTCTAGTTTATTTTTCTTAATTAGACAAAACTTTATATCAATAAATTAAAAGATTTTAAACTAATAATCATATACGTACTACTTCCGAACATTGTGTATCGCGCGTGAGTGAAGTACCTACCCTCTAGATTACTCTCCGCTAGAGTTACCCCTTACCAAAAATCAGAAATTTTTAGGAGAATGATCTGGTTTTGGTACTGTATACCTAGCTATAAAAATTTGGATTACAAAGATCATCTAGTCAACATAAATTAAAATGAGATAATAGCGCTAGTTTGAAATCTTTAGTTGCGCAATTTCTAACGTTGATTAGGTCACTGGTACTTATTCTTGAACTTAATTAACTAATTGATACATAGTTAATAGTCAACGGGAGTGAGGGAGGTTAACCGAATAATTCAAAACAGCTTTTCCACATTCTTTTTATCTATTCCCCCTTAGGAATATAATGGAAAGAAACAAAGACGTTGTGCATACATAGTTATGCCAATAGTATCATAGGGGCATATAATAGAACAATAACCTTATATTAAAACTAATGGAGTACTACTTTTTAAGGATTCAATATATTACAGTTAATTAACTTAGATGGATCTTGAATACTCTTATTGAATTAATACCCAAATCGGTTTCACATGGAATGTTTATATGTGGGAGAGATTTACATAACTTATGAAAGACAAATGTAATAATCTCGAACAACTTTCTTGCATCATGTCATTGCTAAGATAAGACTATACTAAATTATAGTCTAGTAATACCGATGAGAGTTTTTCATACAATAGGTATGCTCTGTTTGGCCGTCCTCTTTCTCTGAGTAATAGAAATTTTATTAATAAAGAAAACGATTTCACCTAATTAATAGTCTATTCTTTATCACCTCAAATTAAGAGATAGATGTTGATGGCTACTATTTTAACGGGCAGATACGAAGTGAATGTGTTTTTATAATGTAAGAATGAGACGTACCAGAAACGACAAATGCTGATAATTAATAAAGGACATGATGTCTATATTTAGTTCTTTCTCAAGTCTCAACCAACAATAATTAGCAATTATGTGTATATGTATTGCAAGAGCTAAATACTCAGAGCATTTAAAACCAATAGCTTTATTACCAAACAGTTACAAAGGTCTGCAAAGAACTCCTCATGCACGTTATAAACTGCATGGATATCCAACGCTATAAATTTACTACTCTAATAACCCTAGATTCCGTTCACTTTTTTTTACGTCTTATTTATTATTTTGGAAAAGTTGCAACCAAGATCTTCAGGTTGATGTGGCGGTAGTATTATTTTTATATGCTAATGTTTTTTTTTTGTGTGTGTGTGTATAAACATTATATTTTAAAGCCGAATATTCTAACTTCCTTCAATTCTGGTTACTTTCTCATGGAGGAGTTCATGTCAGGCTAAGATAAAAATACTAGTAGTTTGATATCCCAAGTTACATGTTTAATTCTATAAAATTTAATTTTTATATACTGATAATGTAAAAAAATTATTACGCTATTAGGTAAGAAATAATAAGTAATCATTCATAAAAGACGAATTAACAACTTGAAAAATAAGACTGATTATCTACACAACAAGTTAAATTATACCGCTAGTGTAAAAAATTGTTTCACCGTCGCGTATATAGAAATTAAATAAAAATTTATATTATTCGTAATTGAAATGGGAAGGCTAGAAGAACCTAGAAGATGCTGAAAGATTTTTGTTTTTTAATATATATTTACTTGGATCATCAAGGTGACAGTTGTACTTTTGCAGAGATAGTGAGAAGGAGAATATGAAAGGGAAGCAACAAGAGAAACATAAAAGAGATCAAAAGAAACATGTGTTTTTTTTTTTTTTTTTTTTTGAGTTTATTGCTTGCTGCCTTCTTCTGCAACTGCAACTCCAATCCTCAATACAAGAATCCTTAAGGCCTGTTTTCAAAGCAGTGTTTAACTGATGATCATAAGTGCCACCTCTACATCGGGCGGAGGGGGTCCACCTATAGGGGCGGAGCCATAATATTAGTTACGAATTTGAACGATCTCATAATTTTTTATTAGATTCTATATTTGTATTAGAAAATTTATTAAGTACGTATAAATATTTAATTGCAAACGTAATAACTAAAATACTACAAGTTTGATGGCGAATTCAGAACCCATAAACTTTAAATCATAACAACATCTCTACTACCCTCACCGGACCAACCGAGCACCTCTCTTTTGTTATCATTTTCTACTCTCCAAGCATTAAAAATGGATAGAATAAGATATTATATTTAATCAAAAAATGACATGAATAAAGAGACATGTTCTCTGCAAGAAACGGTTCGATAGATTGGATAAAAAGAGGCCAAAATAGGCAGAATTTGTTGTTGGGTGGGGGGTTTCTTTTGAAAAATAAAAATTTTACTTTGCATTATCACTGTTGCATCACCTTATCTTCTATTCCTAGATAACTATTTTTTATTTCTTGTTTGTATTTTAATATTCATATATTTCATTCGATACTTAATATAATATATTTTCAAGATTTTTTTCCACTTTCCTTACCCTTCCTTTCTCATCGGGACTTGCAGGGGGGTTCAGAGGAAAGAAAAAAATAGGACAAAAAAGAAATATCACTATTACAATATTACGTTACTAAAGCAATCAGAAGTGGTCCAACTTTTTCTTTTTTGGTCTCTTTTTCACATGATTTTCATCGCAACAAGTTGGGAAGGGGATTGTTTCACTGCCAAATTGGGCAATCAAACAGTCAAAAAAGCATGATGCCAATTGTTTGGTTCCAACCCTTTGTGCTCTCATTTTCACAAAGTACCACTTTTCTTGGAAAGGAATTAAATTTAGTGCAGGAATTGAATTCCTTCCTTCAGATTTTCATTTTGCTGCTTAATTGACAAATCTTCTTCTGTTTGGAGCAACGGGTGCAGGCTTGACGATGTCATCAACGTTTTTCAATTACATTTTCTCTGTATGGAAATGTTTGAGCCCAAACTTCTAGCTTTTATATTTCCTTTTCCGACCCATGCACGTGCTTTTCCAATTCCCTTTTAGGTCCATGCAGTATACCACAGGAGGTTTCAATATTTGGTGACGCATGTGATAGGACACGAGAGCAGCATAAACCAATCATCTAGTGATACTAATTTCCTGAATTTGATAGTTACATTACGATAAAAGGGTATCACAAAATAGAGTATTTGGAGAAGATTTTTCTTGTATATATAGCAAAAATAAAGAATCAAAATCTGTTATGCTAACCTATACGAGTATCCTTCCAATTGTACTATCTATAACTGCCTATAAAATTTATACTGAGAAATATTTACATGCTCTTCCTTATACACTTCACACGTGTGGAGGAATATTTTAGAATTGGCATCCAATGTTGACAGCTGTCTTCTACTTTATCTTTAAACAAATGGTTAGGATCAGTGGGCTTTAATGTGATAGACGGTCCAGATTGTTGCTTGATGAATGTCTCTGATTTAATCAAAAATAAAGAGATAAAAGTGTCTGGTCAAAGCTGGGCTTATTCAGACCAAACCCTTCATCTTCTTGTTGCTCTGTTTCTTTACAACCAGTTGAACGAATAGCAGTAGCAACACTATCTCCAACAAAGGGCAGCCAGGTGCACAAAGTATCTTGCATTCACGAAGGGTTCGGGGAAGGGTCGCAGTCATTGGAGTGTGATGTAGATCGATAACCTACTCTAATGCAAGTATTGGTGGCTGCTTCAACGGCTCGAACATGTGACCTACAGGTCACTCGGAAGTAACTCTGTCGTTGCTCCCTTCGAAGTTCATTATGACAAGATTTGTGATAAATTGGGGACTTTTTGAACAGCTTCCTCAAGGTTGACGTCTTGACGAGGGACCACTAATCCAATCATTTCGACGCTTATGTCCTTGCAGTTTTTGTCTTATCCTATCTTTTCCCTCTAATAAAGATATTGGATTTCAAAAATTACTGCTGTAGGCTTATTCTTGTTTTCACGTTTGTTTGTTGCAAAGGCCGTCTTGATAATAAGAACACGACCTAAGAATATGAGACTTTTGAGTTGCACTTGAATTCTCGGGTATGTCAAAGGAAACAAAAGGATAAATGATACTTAAATCTAAAAGTAAATGTAAACACGCTGCATAGCAGTGGTTGAAATAGTTCAAGATTGAATATTTAAAGACATAATCAGATCAAAATGTGAGATCACATATATAGCAACGAGCGGCAGTTGGAATCAACTTAAGTCAGCCGTTTACTGACAAGAAAATACAACACTCCAGGACAACCCGATACACTAAGCTCCCGCTATGCGCGAGGACACTCTATTCTAGTATTATGAGAACTGGCTGATCAGGTCTGCAATACTATCCGACTCACTTTGGGAGCCATGTACTGGACCTAACTTAAACAGCTGCTTCTCTCTGTCTGCAGTCAGCAATAGCATATAAGCTCAAGGGAAAACTTCCAGTCTTTGAACTCAGATTAATGAGAGTTCCACATAAGATACTACCAATTGAAATAAAGAAGACGAGGCACATTTAGAATTGACTGAATACAAATGCAGCGAGAGTTCTAGACTCATTAATTTAAACCTTTTGTTCACGGCCAAAACTTCAAGTAAAGGAATCGAATTTCATCTATACTGTCATAACTAATCACTGCTAAATAAATATTACACATAAATGTAGGAAGCTGCTACAGATAGTAATCAATTGAGAGCAAGCTCACTGGGTGAGCACATCATGTAGGTGGAAGACTCTAATCTATAAGCAGCTTCCCCTTCCCGTTTCACCCTTCCCCCTCAGAATGTATTGAAAAAATATATATGTTATAGGCTGTGTCACTCAGCATTTCCAGCTGGTTCCCCATCCAATAGCTCGGTTACACAAAACTGATGTAGATTTTGATACTTCTTTTCCCATTGCTGAATCATTTGTATGGACCTGCTGCGGTCGAGTTTTAGCTTTTCGATCTCCATTTGAGCAGCAGCAGAAGACCCTTGTCTCTGTAAGCAGGAAACACTCGCTATTAGTTGCAATGTATGATCACTTTTGTCAGGCAATAGTATGACATATCTATAGCAATGGGATTAACTATCACGGCAGTTGTACAAGCATCAAAAAGTCAAAGTAGTGCATATTGCCGGGATAAACAATATACATCTCATAACATCTTGTAAATATAAATTTTGGACCTTAACAAGTCACCTTACATTGTCATTTACATCTGCCAACCAACGAAGAAGACATCTCTTCTTGTTTTAATGTGAATGAAAGAAATCTAGTATCTATATGTACGGGTTAGATATGTCAAAGTACTAGCTGTTTCTCCTTCACTTTAAACTTGGTTTTCCACAAAAACACAATTTTACTTTCCGAAACCTTATTTATGTTATTAATTTGTCGAAGTACTAGTTGTTTTTCCATCATAAGTGCAAATAGAAGCTAAAAGCCAGCTAACTGCTTCTTTAAGAAAATAAATTTGAACCAAGTTATGTTTGTAGTCAAACTACCCAGCAAATCTGCCAGCGGTCTGTCTTCAGTTCCATTACCTCCACTAAATCACCACTTAACAGTCAGATAGCCCTTTAAGTGCATTACTGCAATTGACGACAAGACCAATTTTTTCATAAAAAGAATGAAAACATAAAGATGTTGAAAACGAAAATTTTAGATGGTACATACATACATCAATCGCAGAAAGATTGTTGACTATGACATTTTCCTGGACTCTAAAACATACCAACATGAATGTGCCATGAAAAAGTAGTTCATGAAAACAGTTGAGCACATGAAGAGTTTCACAGAAATGATTGCTGTAGAGCCACTATACCGGTTTTAAAGGATAAATAAACAAGTAATGAAAAATGATAAGACTTTGGTGAATGTTGGCATGAGCAAAATCTAGATTTTCAAAGTAACTATTCCCCATCAGAAAGACGGGATACTCCTTCTTCCCCAGAAAAGAGCCTTTGTTTCTCATTGACAATGTCAAAACTGGATCTACTTTCAGTAAAATGTTTAACACATCTATAATACAAAAAGTCATGTTGACCATTTTCCTCTTTTATTTACCACTTCCTCTCTATTCGTAAAAAAACACAAAGTCAGCACCTGGACCACATATTCCCTAATAAACACCTTTTTTATAAGGTAAAGTTTAGTTCCCTTAATAAACACTTAACTATTCACATTTTCATCTCTTCTCATAAATAGTCACGCCAAGTCAAACTAGGACCATTAAATTGAGAAGCAACAAATATAAAAATTAACAACTGAAAATGTCCTATTCATAACATACACACTTGAGAACATGGAACACGCTATAATAGTGACACGGATTTGAAAAAACAAAAAAAAGGAAACAGGAAAAGGAAATGCACATTAATCAAGAAAATCTGACCTGAAGCTCTAAGATTTGATTATTTAGTGTCTGAACACTGATATATGAAGCTTCAACAGATCTATCAGGATTGACCCGGGGGCCAATTACTGCCACATAATCATTATCATCTGCTGAGTTAGCATACTTTTCCAATGGGGGTGGTAATGATACCCCATGTCTCTTTACGGACGGCCCTTGGGAATTCACAGATCCTCTGGTACTCAGGAGAGATGGTTGTCTAACAACAACAATATTGTTAACTGGGCCTGATAAAAATGAATAAAAAGATAAGATATTTCACCGACTTGGAAAAGCAAGAAGGAAAAAGAAGAAAATAGAAGTAGAAACTAGATATATATTAAGCCACCACTGAAACGAATAATATTTGCTCACAGAATCATCAGATTTATCATGTGAGGATACTACCAAGTGTCCTAATTGAAAGAGCTTTAATTTAACTCTTTCCGCATTTTACTAACTGTTGCAAGACATTAGGCTTTCAAGAAGAGAAACAAGCCCCCTTTTCAAGCCTTACTCTTCCATGACACTAAGTGATCTAGGAGGGTACCCCACAGCTAAGTTGCGCGGACTCTTCGTTTTTGGTGCCGCACCCGTCTCGACAGGGGACGGGAGCAGGAGCGGGCGCGGGCACGGGATACGTCTCGGATTCGGTCAACTAACTTCGGATATTTTGAGCTGAGTCCATCGACAAATTTGGGGGGAAACTGAGATTTTGATTCTCAAAATTAAAAATGAAACAGATTTAAGACATGGGAAATGGCATACCTTCAAAATTGTAGTACTTCTATCTCATATTTGATGTGTCATTTGTGATGTGTGTGCAAAGTTTCAGGTCATTCGGACATGATTTGGTTAGGTTTTTGATCGAAAGCGTATTGTTAGGGAATTTGGAGTTCTTAGGCTTAAATCCTTGATTAATTCGAGTTTCCGATGTTGTTTTAGGTGGTTTAGGGATTGGTACAAGTTTGAATGAGTATTAGGTGTTATTGGTGCTTTTGGTTGAGGTCCCGGGGGCCTCGGGATGATTTCGAATGGTTGGCGGAAAGATTTTAAGTTAAGAGATTGCAGATTTTTGCTGCTTCTGATATTTTCGCATTTGCGGCTTGGGTTCCGCAGATGCGGCGCCGTAGATGCGGCTAAGGAGACCGCAGAAGCGGATTTTGGTGGGTTCTTCAGGTTCCGCAGATGCGGTGGATCTTCTGCAGAAGCGGAACCGCATCTGCGAGTGGAGGACCGCAGATGCAGATCTTGGCCATTTAATGAAAGTCGCATATGCGACATTTTGGTCCACAGAAGCGAGACCACAGATGCAGAATTAGCTGGGCAGAAATATGAAATTTGGAGGGTTTGGTTTCAAAAGTTGAAAAATCGAATTGGAGCTCGGGAGAGGCGATTTTGAGAAGGATTTGAAGAGGAGATCTCTGGGTAACGATTCTTTAACCCTTTCTAGTTATATTCCATCAATCTTTAGTTAATTTCATCATTTGATTTCGGAATTTTGGTGGAAATTGGGGGAAAAGTTCTTAGACATCTAATTGAGGATTTGAGGGGTCATTTGNCAGGAGGCCCAAGCTGAAGCTGAAGCAAAAGTAGCAGCTTCAGAAGCGAGGACAGACGCCAAATTCCAGCAACTATCGCAACAGATTGAAGCCTTAATCCACACCGCGACGTGTATGAAGGGAGTTGAAGTTGGAGATAATAGTGCAGCTGCTGCCCATCGAACCAGTAATGCAGGTGAACATTCAGATCTTCATCTAGGGAGAAGAAACAACATCAATTCTGGTATTGATGACACCATCGGAGGAGGAAGAGGTATAGTACCCAGATACACTAAATTAGACTTTCCTACTTATGATGGAACTGAAGATCCTCTTATTTGGCTTCACCGTTGTGAAAAATTCTTTGCTAACCAGCGTACTGCCAACCAAGAAAAAGTAGGGTTAGCTCGTTTTCACATGGTCGGGGAGGCCCAAGTTATAGGGTTTAGTCAACTAGAACTGGAGGAACCCAATTTGACGTGGGGTGTGTTCAAAGAATATTGTACCCTTCGGTTTGGCCCACCAATGAAAAGTAACCCATTAGGAGAGTTGATCAACTTGAAACAAACTAGTTTTGTGGAAGAATATCAGAGAAACTTCCAAAACCGGTTGGCTCGTGCTTCATCTGTGCGTATAGACCAACAAGTTGATATGTTTACGGCAGGGTTAGTTGATTCAATTCGTCTTGATGTTGAAATGCATAATCCATCTAACTTAGTGCAAGCAATGAGTCTGGCAAGAGCATTTGAGAAGAAAATACAGATTTCTTCTGCAACACAAAGGGGCTATGGTTCAACCTCAAACGTCAGTGTTAAAGTTGCCAGTACAGCAATGACTCCAAGTGCTAAGACTGCTGCTTCTTCTTATCCTTTTGTGAAAAGGTTGACTCGCACCGAGATGGCTGCCCGGCGTGCAAAAGGATTGTGCTACAACTGCGATGATCCTTATGTTGCAGGCCATCAGTGCAAAAAGTTATTTTGGCTGGAAATAGAAGATGGAGAATCTGAGGATATAACAACGGAAAACGAAGAGCCTGCCATCTCACTTCATGCTATCACAGGCAAACAATATGCAAATACTATGCAATTGCAAGTTGTAGTTGATATGAAGCTGTTGCTTAGCTTAGTGGATTCGGGCAGCACACACAATTTTATTAGCTCTACTGCTACCCAACGTTTAGGCTTGCCTATCCATCATCAGGCAAATCTCAATGTATCAGTGGCAAATGGCGAGAAAATCTCCAGTTTGGGCATTTGCAAAGGAGTGCAATTTTCTGTAATTACCCATTCGTTCATTGCTGATTTTTATGTGATTCCTTTGGACGGTTTTGATATTATCCTAGGTGTCAAGTGGCTGCAAACACTCGGCCTATCTTGTGGGATTTTACATCATTGACAATGATCTTTGAAGTAAATGGAAGGCAGATCACCTTACAGGGACAGCAACAACTATTCCAGCCGCACCTACATCTTTCGCTGGATTCCAAGCAAGGTGACCTCGAGAAGATATTGGCCAAATTTGATGACATATTCCAAGAACCTACAGGTCTGCCTCCTATGCGGTCCTGTGACCATCGCATTTGTTTACTACCAGGAACTGATCCGGTGGTAGTTCGACCCTATCGCTACCATCACTTCTAGAAAGATGAGATTGAGAAACAATGTGATCAAATGCTTCATCAAGGTATCATCCGACCCAGTCGTTCTCCATTCTCATCACCTGTACTCATCACCTGTACTGCTAGTTCGGAAACATGATGGAACATGGCGCTTTTGTGTGGACTATAGGGAGCTTAATTCCAAAACAGTAAAAGACAAATTCCCTATTCCAGTAGTGGATGAATTACTTGAAGAATTGCACGGAGCACAATTTTTCACCAAGCTTGATCTTCGCTCTGGTTACCATCAAGTCCGCATGGACTCTATGGATGTTGAGAAAACGGCTTTCAGAACGCACCATGGCCATTTTGAGTTCCTTGTCATGCCATTTGGATTGACCAATGCGCCCTCTACCTTTCAAGCACTGATGAATGAGGTATTCCGGAAATACCTACGTCAATTTGTACTTGTATTTTTTGATGACATCCTTGTGTATAGCAAGACTTGGAAGGATCATTTGTCACACATGCGAATCATCTTTGAGTTGCTGCAAGCTCATCGCCTTTGTTTAAAAAAATCCAAATGTTCGTTTGGCGAAAAACAAGTAGCTTATCTGGGCCACATAGTTTCAAACACAGGTGTTTCAGCTGATGCCAACAAGATCAAAGCCGTGGTGGACTGGCCTCAACCGCAATCAACAACAGCGTTGCGTGGATTCTTAGGCTTGGCAGGATATTACCGTAAATTCATCCAGAATTTCGGTCTGGTTGCTGCTCCCTTAACAAATATGCTCAAGCGACATTCTTTTAAGTGGAATGATGATGCACTTGCTTCTTTTGAAGCTCTTAAAAAGGCATTAGTTGCTGCCCCAGTATTACAGTTGCCAAATTTTGAAGAAGAATTTGTTGTTGAGTGTGATGCTTCAGGTGATGAAATAGGAGCAGTTCTTCAACAACAGGGACATCCAATTGCTTTTTTTAGTCGTAAACTAGCTGATCGAAACCTAAAACTTCCGGCTTATGAACGTGAATTGATTGGCTTGACAAAGGCAGTTCAACATTGGAGACCTTATCTTTTGGGTCGAGCCTTTCTAATTCGAACTGATCATTACAGTCTTAAATACTTGTTAGATCAGCGTCTTACTACTTCTCCTCAACAACATTGGCTTAGCAAGTTGATGGGGTATGATTTTCGAGTTGAATACAAGGCCGGGCGCTTGAATACTGTTGCAGATGCATTATCACGACGAGAAGGGACTGAAGATATGTTATTTGCTATTTCCCAGCCTCAGGTTTTGATATTTGATGAAGTCCGGGCAGAAGTCGAGCAGTCCCCAATACTTCAAGAACTTCAAGCTAAAATTGAACAGGGAGAGATGGATGTGGATTGGGTATTTCGAGATGGATTGTTGTTCTTTAGAGACAAGGTTTATCTCTTGCCAAATTCACCATTGGTAGCTTCTGTCTTGTCCGGGTTTCATGATAGCACACATGAAGGTGTTCAGAAGACCATGCAACGTATTCGCAAGGATTTTTATTGGCCAACTATGAAGGCAGCTATCAAGGATTATATTGATGCTTGTTCAGTTTGCCAACGTAATAAGGCTGTTAACTTGAGTCCAGCAGGACTGTTACAACCTTTACAACTACCTAATCAAATCTGGTCGGATATCTCCATGGATTTTATTGATGGGCTGCCAAAATCATTAGGTAAAACAGTGTTACTGGTGGTTGTGGACAGGTTCTCTAAATATGCACATTTTATTCCTCTTGCTCATCCATATAATGCGTCTTCTGTAGCAAGAATTTTCTTTGAGAATGTTGTTCGTTTGCATGGTATCCCAGAATCAATTGTTAGTGATCGAGATCCCCTCTTCACTAGTACGTTCCGGAAAGAATTATTTCATTTATGTGGGACTAAATTAAATTTTTCATCTGCTTATCATCCACAGTCGGACGGCCAAACTGAGGTTGTTAATCGCACAATCGAGATGTATTTGCGATGCTTGGTGGGTGATCGTCCTACCAAATGGGTAGAATGGATTCCATGGGCTGAATTTTGCTATAACACTTCTTTCCATTCAGCACTTCACACATCTCCATTTCAAGTTGTTTATGGCCGCGAACCTCCCAGATTGCAATCCTACATGGCTGGTTCTTCTCGAGTTGATGCTGTTGACCGAGCATTAATAGACCGCGATGTTGTCTTACAGGATATTCGAGCCAAGCTCCAACAAGCGCAACATAAGATGAAGACTGTTTATGATAAAGGACATCGTGATGTGGAATTCTCTCCGGGATCGTACGTCTGGTTACGTTTACATCCATATCGCCAAAAAACTCTGGCTAGCCGTGTCTATCATAAACTTGCTCCAAAATTTTATGGCCCTTTTGCAGTTTTGAGGCGCATAGGATCTGTAGCTTATCAACTTGATCTACCTGCAGGTTGCAAGCTTCATTATGTGTTTCATGTGTCACTTCTTAAGCCATTCAAGGGTGAGCTACCTGCAACTCTACCTACTCTTCCACTAATTGAAGAAGGACGCATTGTTCGTACCCCTTGCTCTGTGCTTCGCTCCCGTCTGAATCGTGGTAATTGGGAACTTTTGGTTCAGTGGTGTGGTTTCTCTGTTGAAGATTCCACTTGGGAGAATGTGGATCATTTCAAATCTGCCTTTCCAGACTTCAAGCTTGAGGACAAGCTTTTTCTCCAGGAAGGGAGTAATGTTATGGATGCATTTGTTGGCAGAAAATTTACTAGACGCAAGAATTAATAGGATAGATAATGATTGATATTTTCTGAATTATTTTGTCAGCTTTGAATAAAACTTCCCTTAGTGATTTAGAACTCTTGTTATCTCTTTTAGTTAGGACTCTTTTCTGAGTTAGGATTCTTGCTATTTCTTATTTGATTAGGACTCTTGCTTTGTAACCTCTATTTAAGAGAGTTGACGCTTATTAATAAAGGCAGGTTGAATTTCTTCAAGTCACAGAGATTTGGAACTTTTCTCAAACAAGTTCCCAGGTGTGCAATTCCCTGATTGAATTGCAAATCCAGCAATCATAGGCAAGTCTAGGAACAAGAACAAGGGCTTAGACCTTCGTGTTGGGCCTGACTTTCCTGTTAATCGTCCAGCGACTCGATCCAAAATTAGGGACCATAACATCAACCATACATTTAACAAACAGATTTCTTATGCGTGACTATCAATTTTTCAAGAATTTCAAGAAAATTTATTAAAGTAGTAGCAATTAGTCATTTGAAAAAGTACAAAGTGCATCAATTGTACCTTTTGCATGCCTAAAAATTCGGGCGATGTTATGGTCTTTAGTGTTCCACACCCGAACCATGCCATCCTCTGATCCAGAAATTAGCAAGCCCCCGTCCGTAGTTAATGCTAAGCATGTAATAGCCTTACTGTTTCATGAATAGTTGTAAAGTTATTCAAGGAAAATTAAAAACAGCTAAGGGATTAAAGACAAAAATTAGTATGTATCTGCAGGACTGGCACAGAAGTTCAAAAAATTACAGGGACTATCTCATCATGGTTCAAATAATAACAAGCAAAAATAGCATGACCTCGTATAGCTAAAAGTTACAGGGAAAATTTTATCATAATCCTATAAGAACATCCAGAAACTAGTTTAACTCCATACACAGATTGAGAGAAATTCCCTGGTCGCAAATTCAACCATACATACCCAGAACACAAACTCCATACGCTTCATGCCTAAAAGTTATAGATTCCTACTAAATGGCTCTTGAATTTCAGCATTCAAAAAGAATAAAGAGATTCAAAGCAACAACTTTTTCACGCTTGACACTTCAGCATGAAGCTATAAGTGATGCCAACAAAAATTAAGTAGAGTCACATGGTGATTTCATGTAATCCATAGGACAGCAAAGGACAATATAGAGGTACTCATGAAACACAAAAAGTCATAGGGAAGCTTTTCCGAACATCTTAAACGAAAAATAAAAAGGGATAAAACTTAAAGGTTTACAAAACCAGACTTCTTATTAGCTAGAATATATATATATATATAAAACTAATCGTATATATAACAAACCTTTGCTCAGACAAAAAACCAAGAATGTGCAATCCGTAATTACTGTTGGAGTCAGCAACAGCATTTAGTGCAGCAATGTATATTTTCCCATCTCTACCACCAGCATAGAAGACATCTTCACCAGGGTCCAATGCAATTGCATCAATTACTGATGGAAACACAATGTTTCTCAACAATTTTCCTCTCGACAAGCTCCATACCTAAGACAAATGAACAGCTAAGACTATTGAGACTCAAACAAGGGTATACAGTACACTGGTTCCAACTAATTAATTGTTGCCAGTCACTATGGTGATTAGACAAATAACACGCTGAAAAACCAGTAAAAAAATGATAGAACATATTATATTAGTTAAAAAAAATGAAATCATCCTTAGCATCCAATTGAAACATAGTGAACTTGTTGTGGAGTCAATCGACTCAAATCATCATGATTGACCATCGGTCATACCGGAAAAGTTCAATAAATTGGGAAAATGACAAGGCGAACCTTGCATGTTCTATCTTCTGAAGCAGATACAACAATTGCATTAGCTCCGCCATACCCAGTCACAACATCAGTCACCTTCAAAGAATGCTCAGAGAAACTATACTCGTAAGGCTGTCTTGCTTTCTCCCTCAACAAATCATCAAATACCCTAATTTCAGCCAATTTCCATGATTAGCCCTCAGATCATCAAACAAAAACTAGAAAAGTGAAAATCATAGAAAGCAAATACTAGTACATTATAAGAGACCAAACTCGAACAGATCCATCCTCTGAACCAGAAATCAGAAGTGATTGATCGTCATTGAATTTCAAGCAAGTAACTGCCCTATAGTGAGCATGCCACTTCTTAAGTAGTTTACCAGTCGCAACCTACAAAAAATAAACAAACATAAAACATTTATTCGATACTGTCAGATACAGTGAGCTAATAAACGGACATAATGACCAAAACACTACTTAGTATAAACCTGCCACAAGTATATATCACCGGATGCACCTCCTCCGGCCATATAAGTTCCCTCATTGTTGCAAACAAGTGGACTTATAGGTTCCGCTGGAAAGCTTTTAACTTCAACTTGAGGCTACAAATGTAATTACTAAAAAGTCACAATTATGGCCACTAAGTAACAGTTTAATCCAAAACTAGGTTTTCTAACAAGCAATGCATCGAACAGCTTAACTTCAAACTTTAATAGTGTGAATTTATAAAATTAAAAATTTGTTATTGTTTACCTTGTTCCAGGACCAGTAAAGGACAGAGCCTGACGACGATTTGGTAGCACAGAGTTGAGAGGAGGCGAGAAAGCGGCCGCCGACACAGACAAGGCCGTGGGAGGGGGAGGAGCAAGACCGATAACGAAGGTGCTCGGCGCCAGTATGGAGGTCCCAACAGCCGATACCGGCGTCGGTCGGCGACGACGCGATTACCAATTCCAGCTCCGTCATTTGGTAGGTTTAGTGAGAAGAAGTGCTCACTGTTTTGCTGGAGACTGCCGGAATGGTTCAGTTTTTGCGCGAGTTTGAAATTTTGAAGGACGTTGGTACTGAGGATCTATTAAATATCTGGGCTGGACAGGCAATCTCGATATGGCTATTCAGTACTATCTCTGGCCCAGTAAAGCCCATTAACGTTATCCAATCTAGCCCGCTCGTTGAGTGAAGTTGGGCTAAAAGTTTTCAGCCCGTTTTAAGCGGTTGACACTTAGTAGTAGATAACCCGTTTTCAGAAACCACTATAGTTTAGTAGCTATTAACTTTAGGATTTTTACCTTCCTATACCATATATGAAACCTTATTACCCTCAATGTTTAACGTTTGTGTTAATTACATTTCAGCATACCAAATTACCATTTATATACCATAATTCAAATTAGGGATATAATTGAGGGTGCATTTATATTAGGCGCTAATTTAGGACCGTATCTTCCCACATTTATCTTTACCTATCTCTCCCCCAACCCCCCCCCCCCCTTTGGAGATGGACAGTAGCATCAATAATCTTCAGATTAGTTCTCATTTACTTCCCCAAAAATCTTAACTTAGCGACCGTATCTTCAGATTAGTTCTTATTTACCAATTCTCTATTTACACGTACAAAACATCAATGTATTGTTATATTCATTGACCTCTTTTTTTTGTTTTTTTTTTTTGGGCAGTGGCTGAAGGTTACTGGTTAACACAGTCGATTGAAATTCGAAGAAGAAGACATATTTCCAGAAATTGTAGATAAATTGTAGATAAATTGTAGATAAATTGTAGAAAAATTAGAAAATTTGTAGATAAAGTGTAGACTGTTTTTTGCAGAAGATTTTGTAGAAGCTTTAGTCGTTTTGGATTTGTGAAAACAGAAAACAATGCATCTACAATCAGAATACAAATAATCTACAATTTATCTACAAGATATCTACAAAATGAATACATTGAATTTTAATATCCCAATTCCCAATTTCAAATTGTTAGCATAATTGGCATTTTTTGACATAATGTAGAAGATTTGTTAGAAGTTTTAGTCTTCCCAATCTACAATTTATCCTACAATTATCTACATTTTATCTACAATTCACAATTTAACTACAATTTATCTACAATTTCTGGAAATATGTCTTCTTCTTCTTCTTCGAGTTTCAATCTGAAATTTAGTCAAAACCAAGTCTAATCTTCACCAAAAACCCCTCAAATTGAGATATAAACTCCTAACATATTCCGAATTATTACAACAACACCCAATCCAAACAAATAATGATTTTGATGAACCCAAATTTGAATTCAAAGCTTTCAAGCTTTTTAATGGCTATCAATGGTGGAAAATATATGGAAGAACAGATGAAGATGAAAAACAGAAATCTCCTTTCCGTTTCAATATTCTTCTCCTAAATCTGTTCAGAATATTCACGCCAAATCTGTTCAGAATATTCTTCTCCTAAAATTTAGCTCGCATAAATAGGAAGATACAACTGCTATTAATTAGCTTTTAATGATTGGTACAAAAACTGTAGAAATAATGTGGACTGGGCGGGTAATTTAGAAATTATGCACATTTTTGGTAATAAGGTTTCATATATGGTATATATAAGAAAAAATCCCATTAACTTTATATATCTACAATATATATATTTACTTCCAACTAGTTTTAGTGTACGTGTGCCACACGTGTACAGCGCGTCAAATAATAAATGTATTTATACGTAAGAAGAACAAATTGTTACAAAATAGCAATTTATGTCAAATTTAAATATTTGCTTAAGGAAATAATTTGTAAAAGATGATTACAATTTTAATTGATTTTAAATTTTATATATTAAGACTTCTGAAATGGTTCAAATAATGCATATTCGATAAATAAAATTAATTTTAAAATCCTAATTAATTAAATATTAAGAAAATTAACACATGATAATTATAGTTTTGAAACAATTCAATAAAATATAATTTAAACAAACCAAGAAATATTGTATGAAAAGCAAAATAAAGGATCAAGATTGATCTGCACGATAAAATTTTCCTTGTACGATACGATATAGGCACAAAAAATTTACACGAAAATTATAAAATATTTTTTGTCCTTGGTTGAAACGAAACTTACCTTTTACTTTTTATATTCTCTTATTTTTTCTTAATATACTTTATCCTTGTTTAGTTGATTTCGAACTCCTAAGTATTAGGTAATAATTAAAATTTTACTTGATTTTAAAGTCCTAAATATTAAAAAATTAACTTAAATTACATATTTGTCCAATGTGAAATTAATTTTCAAAGAGTAAAAATGACGAACGATATTTCTTTAAGGGCCTTCGTGCTTTTAATATAGTATAGATAGATTAGTTCTTACTTATTCTTTGTAAACTTTTTCATTTTATGTATTCTTGTTCATCATTATATCCAAACTCATTTATGCCATTTGAATTGATAATATATAGTACTTTTGATTGGATTTATCATTCGAAACATGAGAAATTATACCTTAATATTTTCATTAATTCAAAAAAAATATTTTTAAATAGGGTGCAACTTAGTTTGTTTATTGATGATTGTTATTATATCTTAATATTGATGATTGTTATTAGATCTTGACAAATAAGGAGTTAAAACTAAAATTTTCAGTTTTTCTTCTTTTGGATATGAATTAGATTAAGTAGTTATATAGTTGTATTATGCTATTTAAATTAGAAAATAATTTATATAAGTTAAAATGTTATTTGATTTTGAATTTTTAAATATTAGGAGCTCCAATTACAGATTTTTTTCAGTTAATTTTTTAAAGTTATTATTTAAATGATTAAATTATATTTAATGTATAATATAATGTGCGTGTTATCCATCATCAATGATTAAATAGTTTATATTAAAAACTAATAAATTTATAAATCACCTTAAGACTTCATGCACATTTGAAATATTAGAATAAACAATATTCACATGGTTCAAAAAGAAATCGAAAAAAGTGGATTTTGACATGTTTGATGATTCTTACGTGGTTAGTACTACAAAACTCAAATGAAGACTAAATTCATAACGTGATAAACACTTGGAAACATTTAAGGTAAAATACTTGCGTAATTTAAATATGGAAAACAGTTGTATAAGTAAAATCAAACTCCATTTTAGATTCCTCAATTTTAGGAATTCTTACCTAGTTTAAATAAGAAAATATTTAATAAATAAAATTTAGTTGATTAAGTCTTAAATATTAGAAAAATAAGTAAATTACAATTACAAATTTGTCCAATGTGAAATTTATTTTTAAAGGATAAAAAAGACGAACGATATTACGCTAAAGGGTTTTGTGTTTTTAATATAGTATATAGATATCTAATATTTCGTTGCTACCGGACTGTATTTGCTGTGTTCGCGCTACTGTATTCATGAATACAGTCGCGGAATTTGCCTATTAAGTAGGGATTCCAGCTATTTAATAGCTGAAAGAGGATCAATTAGCGTTTATCACTCCTAATTTAACTCAACAAAATTAATTCTAAAAAATTTCATTGCTGCTGTGTTGTATTCCATGTGTTCTCGCGACTGTATTTATAAATATAGTGAGGAAATCCGCCTAAAAAATAGAGATTACAACTGTTAAATTCTGTATTTCATGTATTCACGTGACTGTATTTATAAAAACGGTGAGGTGTATTTATTAATATAGTGAGGTAATCCGCCTAACAACCAGGGATAACAGTTGTTTAATTTTTTATTCCGTGTATTCACGCGAATGTATTTATAAATACAGTAAGGTAATCCGGCTTAAAAATAGTGATTACATGTGTTTAATAATGGAAAGCGCAATATTGAATTGTATTTAATTTTACTTTATTGAATTCAGCTATATTCAAACAACAAAAAATCAAGAAATAACATGTATACTGTTCTATTCAATTCGATTGTATACAGTGTATTCAATTCACAGATATTCATTATTTATTATTATACATTGTATTCAATTCATCGTATCCAATTCGACTATATTCAAACAACAAAAAATCACAAAAAAGTAATATTCGACTGTATCATTATATGTGACTCAATAACAAAAAAGAGAAGAAAGTTCTCTGGAGATGGCGCCGGCCAAACAAAATATTATATACATTATATTAAATCTAAAAATTGAGAGGAACAAAAATTCAGCCCTCAAATTTTCTCCGACGACTCTGCTTCAGATTTCCAAAAGCTCAATCTGTAGCCATGGCCAGATCTGTTCGCCTACTCCCCCTTTGCTTCAGATCTATTCTCTACGCTTCAAAAAGTTCACCATCGCCACCAAAAATTGCTGCTACAACGGCACCCTTGATGAAAAAGGGAGAGAGATTTGAAGGAGAAGAGAGAGGATTGAGATTTTTGGAACATAACTGGCATATTTCACGCCTCAATGGAACAATATAAAATAAATATCTATTTTGCTATAAAATAGAAAAGGTAATTATAAGTAATAATATTTTAAAATTGTATTGGTTTATGATAAATAGGGTGTAATAGTTTGCTATAGGAGGTAAAATTTAGGAATTAGTAATGTGTCATAAACTTCAGTTTTTCAATTTGATTTTTCGAGACATAAATGTCCTAAATTTATGATTTATAGTTTAAATTTGTAGGACAAAATAAGTACTAGCTAATCCCTGAATAGTAGCCCTAAAAATGGTTATTCGTGTACTTCCCCTTTACCTAGTTAGCCCGCGGCCTCATGAGGCAAGAGGAAATGATTGGGAAGGAAATAAAATTATTAAATCACAATAAAAAATGTATTACTCTGTAATCAATTGTTAAAACAAAGTAAAGTCTTATGATTCACACTCTAAATAGGCTTTTCTTTGTATTCAGTGAATTAAAATGTTGCTACCATTCTTTTGGTTAATTTCCTCATGAGGCAAGAGGAAATGATTGGGAAGAAAATAAACTTATTAAATCACAATATTAGTGATCACTTTATATAGTTCGCAAATCACACGAGAAAAATAAGGAATTTTTTCATTCCTATACACTATTGGAAACTTTATTACCCTAAATGTTCATGTTTAGTAAATTACCCTACC